GATCCAAACCGGCAAACCCCGGGCCGCCGCAGCGGAGCGCGTGCACTTAACTGCTTGCGCCACCGGGCCGGCCCCTACCTTGAATTTTTAATATGTGTAACCATAACTTATAGAAAACAAAACACTGATCTGGATTAAAATTCAAAAAGATACATTTCAATCGTAATGTTTTCTTGTGCTTCAGACCTATATTTAAAATTGCCACTAGCATACCTTTGCTGGAATCTTCTATAAGAGGACCCTCAAATCTAACATGTCCAAAATTGAACTGGCTTCCTTCTTGCTAAATCTCCTCCTCCTTCTATGATGGCATGACTATCCTCCGTGGCATTCCTGCCAGAAACTCGGGCCTCATTCTTGACTCTTCCCTCCTGCACACCTCCTCTAATCAATCACTCAGCTCAGCCTTACTAACATCTGTTGAATCTATTCTCACCATCTCTTCTGCCACTATCCTGATTTTGACCACCATCTCCTCTTATTTGGATCTCAGTAGCCTCTTAACCAGTCTCTGTCTCATCCATCCATTCACTCCATTCTCCACAGAAGATCAGAGTGACCTTTCTAAACCACGGTTCTGACCATATCACTTCCCTGCTTAACACCCTTCCTAACTTTCCATTATAGATATCAAACTCCTTAAAGTTTGCAAGAACCTGCTTCCTTAACTCCATCTCCAACTGTGGCTCATCCTCCCCCAACAGAACTGGACCAGCATGCCCACACAGTGTACGGTAAATAAGAAGAATTGTGAGTTTTGATTCCTTTCTTTGTCACTCATTTTCTGAGGGAAATTATAATATTCTTTCATTCAACAGTTATTGATAAGGACACCTATTATATGCCAAACACTGTGTAAAATTGCTAAAAGACTGCTACTGGAGATGGAAGGTTTTTAATATCTAAAAATAATAGAAAATAGAGTACTTTAATTTTAGATAGGCCCTTATAGGTGCCTGTTTTTACAACCACAGTTGTGTAGGACTTCACCCCTCCAGCAAAGACCATGGATAGCCATAACTAGCATCTGAGAAGTTGAGTTGTTCCACCAATAGCAGATCAATAGCTAGATTTAATGTTAATTTACTGTAAGACTAAATATACTATAAGAAGTAGGCTGTGAAAGTGGAAATGTTTATTGAAGTAGTGCCTTTCCTTATAATTAAGAAAAGAGGTGAATTATCTTAAAAGTGAGTTTTAAATGTTATTTTAATGTTCATACTTTTCTGACTTGATACATCTGTGAAATCACTATCATTTCCAGAATTAGATTTAATAAAAAGTTAATTTTACCGTTACTCGTCTTTTCATCTGTTTGTACCAGAGAACTACGAGTGCTGCCTAAGGTAGATGTTTATGTTCTCTTAATATGCAGACATGAAGAACAGTAGAAGATGTGAGAAGATGGTAAAATATAGGCTAATGCAGAGCTTTTTTAGGTCATTTAGAATTTTGACAGGTTGGATGATATTTTAAAATGTGCCAAATTTGGCCCAGCAGGTACTCAAGAAGATTTACTTTTATCATAAATTCAAGTTCAGGCAGTGAGCATATTTCAGTTGTACCATCAGTATCTTTGCAGGTTTCTGTAATAGTCATAGTAAAGTGAAAATATAGGCTTTAATGGTCTCTATCATAATTTTAAAGATACTTCAAATTGTATCATGTTATTCCAAGGAACAATTGAATTCCATAAAAACAAATAAATTTAAATTTATTTTATATTTAAAAAATAAATTATTAAAAGTAAGTAAATAAATAAAAACAAATAAATTAAAAACAAAATCCAAAATAAGATCTTTAAGACGAGGCCAGTAAATACCAGTCAATAGTTTTTCTTTGTAGAATATTGCAATTTTAGTTTCAGTAAATGATTTAGCAGTTAAAGCTGAGATGGAGTCTGGTTGTCAGTATTCAGTCTTGAAAAAATAAACTATCTTAAAAAGCGGAACAACCACGCAAACTCATTCCCAAAGCAATGTTTGAATGGTATGCTTAAAACTGCCCTGGGACAGAACCATAGGAATTAACCCTTTAGGAAATCCATTTTAAACTTTTTGTTGTTGTTGTGAGCCACAATAAATATAATTCACATTGCAAACCATCACACACTCATACTTACAAATATTACTTA